GGGCGCCTGTAGTCCCAGTTACTCAGGAGGCTGAGGCAGGAGAATGGCGTGAACCCGGGAGGCGGAGCTTGCAGTGAGCCGAGATCGCGCCACTGCACTCCAGCGTGGGCGACGGAGCGAGACTCCGTCTCAAAAAAAAAAAAATTATGAAGACACAATACTGTCTGACTCACTATTTTGTAGGTATGGGCTGGCAGAGGTTTCTCAGCCCTTCTCATGGCCCCAACTCCAATGAATGTGACAGTGCACATGTGAGTGGGCGGGAGTGTGCATGATATCTGTTGGGGGGAGGTGTGTGTGTGGTGTCTGCTATATTCGAATATGTGTGTGCCTGGGGAATTGTGTGCATGTGAGTGGTGTGTGTGAATTCTGTTGGATATGAGTGTAGGTTTATGGAGGTGTTGGCGGGTGTGTGTGTCTGCTGAGTGTTGGTGTGTATGTATTTTCTCCTGGGCTGTGTCTGTATTTTTGTAGTGTTTGCTAAGGGTGAGGGTAAGTGGTATCTGTGGGGCATGTCTGCAGAGTGTTTGTGGTGGTGGCTGCGATGTATGCATGCAACGTCTGCTCTGTGTGCATGTATGGGGCTGGGGTGCCTGCAGGCTGCATCATAATGCCATAAAATGCCTGGTGAAATCCCCCTACCAGTGACTCTGTGCTGGCAGAGGCTGCCCCTTAGAGGCAAGTAGGGAAGGTCTGGGAAGTCCACTGTCTCAGGATGTCAGGAAGCTGAGGGACCACAGTAATTGCTATGCCCGGGGGCATGGAGACCCAGGCAGGGACAGGTGCTGGCTACAATAGGTAGACAAAGGCCAGTGCCTGGAAGCCTCCAATCCTGTTGAATACAGATGGCAAGGCTGCATGCACAACACAGATCCCAGGCAGGGGATAAGGATGGACATGTCAAGTCTGGGTCTCAATCCAGACAACATATTCAGGCTCAGGACAGTTCAGAAGGAGAGGAGCCCTGGGGGAAGGCTGAACTCAGATGGTTGGGGTAGGTGGGGAAAAGAAGTGAGCTGGCCAGGCTACTCCATATGGCACCCTGCTGGACGGAGGCAGCTCCATGCCAGGGCACAGGACTTGGTGAGGGGAACAGGAGCTGGACCTCAGTCCTGTTGCCCCCCTGGCTGGGTGCCCTCTTACAGGGGCCCAACTGTACATGGTGACCCTGGATATTGGCCTGGGACTACTATATCTGGGGCTGGCAGAGGACTGGGGGGCTGAGAAGGAGACATGGTCCCACGACTTGGAGGAGAGAGAAGGCTTGACCAGAAGGGACTGGCTGTGCAGCAGGATAGCTGGAGGCCTGTTGGCTGGGCATCCTGTCTCCTGGGTCCTGGACTGGTCTTGACAGCAAAGTCAGGGCAGATGGCACCAGCAAGCCACAACCTTCCTGCTCCACAGAGTGCTAGAATGGCCATTCATCAGTTACAGCAGGACTATAACGATGACCAAGAAGATAAGACAAAACAGAAGAGGGTGGGTAGACCAGAAAGAGTGTTCAGAAAGAAGCTTGAAAGAGGAGAGGAGAGAAGCTCCCGAGTAGTAGCAGCAACCTACCAGCTACATTTGTAACCTCGAACTACTACTTTCTGGCTTCAGTTTTGTCACCTGACTAAGAGGGTTGGAATAAAATGAATTTAAGTCTCTTTTACCTTTGACTAGGACTGACCCAGGCTGGCCTTTCACCAGCTCCTGTCCCCATTCCCAAGGGAAGCTGGGTGGGGGGTAGAGGGTGTGGACGACTCAGTGTGGTCCATCCTCAGACCAAAAACCCAGCTTGGGGCCGACACATTACTCTCTGAAACACCATGCTCAGGTGTGAACAAAGATGCTTGGTTACTGTGGACTTTTAGCTCCAAGGAGGGCTGTATTTTTCTTAACTCAATGTCTTTCTTAACTAATCAAATTAAGAGCCTGGCTGGGCATGGTGACTCACACCTGTAATCCCAGCACTTTGGGAGGCTGAGACAAGAGGATCGCTTGAGATCAGGAGTTCAAGATCAGCCTAGGCAACATAGTGAGACCCCCATCTCTTAAAAAAAAAAAATAGGGGCCCACATCTTTAGATTCCCAGGGCTGAGATTCTGGGAAACTCAGCCAAAACTCCAGACCTCATGCAAGTAGCAAAGGACCTTTTTTTTTTGTCACTGGGGCCTGGAGGACAGACAAGGGCAAAAGGCAGAGAATTCCAGCCTTTACAGGTCACAGAGAAAGTGGAGGAGGAGGAGGTAGCTGATGCCTCCACACCCAGGAGGGAGGGGGAAGTGATGAGCAAGATTTTTCACCCTTTCGGTAAAACAAAAAAAATTATTTCTCCTATTTCCTTCTCCGAGATTAATGATAAACTGTCTATCCCCTAAAAGAAAATGATAAAGACTCTAATTTTACTTGGAGGCTTAGAAATGCCATTTCTACGCAAAACAGGGAGCCCATAATCAGACTTGAGCGGGGCAGAGCTTTGATAGAAAATGTTTTCCCCTCTCCCTCTATTTCTTCCCCTCCTTCCCCTCGCAAACCAAGATGCCCGACAGCTAAAAACAATGCTCAATAAAGTGAAATAATATTTTAGTCAAAATAGGCCGAGACTGCTCCCAGCCAACTGTAAATTAGCATTTTGAGGGCAAATATGCAGACAATTTGAGATAATGAAGCCTGATTATTCAATCCAATGAATGTTAACTAGGGAGCAGAGGCTCCACTGCCTTATCTCACTCCCTTCGATTTATTTTTTTAATCGTTTCACATTTGAACTCTTTATTTGTTTCTGTTTTATGCGCCCCCTCCCTTCCTCGGTCACACACACACACACACACACCCCCCCACACCCCCACAGGCACAGTCTCCCTCCCTTCTCTCCTCTCCTCCATTCCTGCCCAGACTGCAGAAGGGGACCCTTGCAGAGGCCATCAGTCTTTCCACCCAGCCTGGCCTTCGGGTTGGGGTCAGCATGCCCCATGGAGCCCCTACTGTGTGCATGGTCAACGTGCACTAAACAGATGACACACACGCTGCTTCTCAGGGCTTAGAACAGGCCTGGGTGCAGGAGCTGGAGAATGGCAGGTTTATAAAGGAACATGCCGGGTGTATGTGGGGCTCGGAGAAGCGGGGATGGAAGGACAAGAAATGCCTTTCACGTCCTTCAATCCACCCTCCATGAAAGGTCCATGTGGAGCGCCCCCTGTCCCTAGGAGTCATGGAAAACTTTCTTAAATTATCCTTTGTCCCAGGCAGGACTCACTGCATAATTTGCAGGACCCAGTGCAAAATGAAATGCGGGGAAACTTGCCCAAAAATCATGGAGAATTTCGAGATAGTTGTGGCAGAACATTACGACACCAAGCAGGGGAACTTCTGAGCTCGGGGCTCAGGCAACTGCACAGGCCACACACCCATGCAGCTGACCTGGCTCCAGCAGCTAAGGGGCAGCCTCGAAGCCTGTTGGAGGTAACATAACGAGGCCTTCTGAAGGAAGGTTGAAGCCCTTCTGAAGTGAAGAGAGAGGTTTCTGAGACCCTGGGAAGGGTCCCAGCTGACTAGGGCTAGCCGCTGGGGTTGTGGGTGCCATAGGCAGGAGCCCCAGTGCCTGAACAGCTGTCAGCATGGTGGTTTCCCCTTGGATCCTTCAGCCTAGAGATGATGTTTACTTGGTGGTGGAAAAAACAGCTCCCACTTGGGTGAGGCTCCCCGCTGTTACGGTGCTTACCTGGCCTCAACCTCCTGCTTGGGTCCTGGCCCTACTTTTTCCCTCAGCAGTGTGGCCTCCCAGTCCCTGCCCTGTCCCCATGAGCTCCTGCCTGGGTCAAGCCCCTGCAGCTGCCCTTCCCTCGGGGCCCCGTTACCACCCTTTATGGTGTGTGCAGCAGGAAGTCCCCGCCTGAGCATGGCCTCCCACCTTGTCTGCCCTGTTCCTCAGCTTGCCCACTCCCCACCAGACCTCCTGCTCATCGAGTGCCCTGTTCACCACTCTCATCCTCCCGCTGCCTCTGCTCATACTGGGCCCTCACCTGGAGGGTCTTCAGCTCCCTCCTGCCTCCTATCTCCTCTCTTTCCACCCATCTCTTCACACCCAGCCAAAGAACACTGCTCTGCCTTTTGTCGGATGTGCTCTTGGGTGGGTGATTTAACCTCCTTGAGCTTTAGTTTCCCTGTGGGTAAATGGGATTGTAGTGGGGCCTGTCTTGTGAGGTGAGTGAGAAGACCAATCAAGCTGGTACAAGTAAAGCCCTGACCCTGGACTGGCCCACCTGAATGTGCATACCTGTTAGCTTGTGCTCTGGGAAGCCTCCGGGAAGCTTCAGAATGCCACAGCCAGTTGGAACAGCTGCCCTCCTAGAACTTCCGTAGCCTTTGGAGTCCTGGTCACACGGTGTAGCCTGCATTCTTACACTGTTTCCTCCACCTGATAGCAATTTCCCAAGAGTGGTGTGGTGGGCACTTAGGACAGGCTCCCTCAGCCTCCCATGCCACCCTCCTTTTGTCTGGAGAGGCTGGAAAATTAAGAGCTACATCTCCCAGATTCCCTTGCAGCTAGGTTTCTGGAAGTGAATTGGGCAATACTGATCAGTTAGACTCCTGAAACTCAGAAGGTGGACATGAGACTCTTTCCTGCTCTGGGTTTCTAATGGCTAGCAAGATAGTAGAAACATGATTACCTTTTTCTGCACCAGATTACCATTGTCCATCTTCTAGCTTCTGGGTGTCAAGAGGCAAAAGCTGTTGTTCTGGTTTCAGTAATGGCTTGATCCTGGCCGGCCTTCCTTC